ATACTATTGTCTCAGACGGCCGGAGCTGACTTGAGGTGATCTACAAATTGCTCGGTCTTTGGGCGGACTGGTGAATGGAGAGGCAGACAAAACGTATTGGTTGCAAAAAGGCTTTACTTACGCCGCTAGTAGCTGCGACACAGGTGGTCCGATTGCTTAAATAATTACACGAGTTGCTCCAGCTGGCAAAAACCCAGGCCAACGAATCCGTACACGAGCCAGGCCAGCAGGAAAAGGGGTTACGTCAAGGGATAGCGTTCGGCGACAGGGAGAAAAATCGATAGTTGATCAGGTTATCGATTTGCTCTGCCACGAGTCAGGAATTCTTTTAAGTCACTCTGCAGCGTGCTCAAAGTTCTCCGACTTGGGCAGAAGTGGCACAGAATTGTATACAGCTAACAAGCCAATCGCTAGCCGCCACATAGGAATAATTTAGAATCGGCCAATGATGGGACACAAATTTGCATATGAATGACGGGAACTCTCTTGCACCGGAGTTTTCTATTGCAACCGAAAACTTTTGCTATGCACAGAGACTCTCATGTGGCGGGAAAAATTCCATCGTGCCGAGGCACTCAAAATCATTGGGTTATGACAACTATAAATTACAAATCTGTCCATGGAAACTGGCCCAACTCAGATGGTCCTTAATGCTTTCCCCATTGTTTATGCAGTAAAATGTTTAATCAGTTACTCCTCAGGTTGGCAACCTACGGTCAGATCTGGTACGTAAAGCCACTGGATCCAGCCCAGACAGCCCCATGCTGACGTGGGGGTACGCACCAGGAGGGGCCAAGCCCCAACACCTGTCCACCTACCTCTGATCTGAGGCGAGTCATCTGGCCAACAGCAAGAAGAGGTTCCTACTCCTGAATTAGTCTGTTATTTGCAATGTAACATGAACATTTTTAATCAACTCAGATTAACCTTAATTTTTCCTTCTAGTGTTGAAAATATTTCTACCCAGACTTGCATGTTAAATAGTGCTACGACAAAGTGACTTTTTTTTCCCCCATTTAACTGGTTCCTTTCTCAATTTGACCTTTCTTATAAATGATTTAGCCTGATTGAGTTTTTATTGCCAAGTTATCATCTCTCCAACTGAATATAGCCAGCATTAGGTTAAGTTCAAGCTTTCTCTTTTCTGTACTTGATGAGCAAGAACACTTCCTATTAAGAGAAGAGATAATTTCATGTTTCACAAGGTAACTGCCTTTGGGGAAATATTTTTTGGGAAAATATCAATTTCATTTTAATAATGTTATTCTGGATGGAATCTCCATCCTCGGAGCTTTTTAAGACCTGGCTAGACAAATCCCCGGTTGGGAAGATATAATTGGGGATGGCCCTGCTTTGAGCAGGGGGTTGGACTAGTCGACCTCCTATGGTCCCTTCCAACCCTAATTTTCTATGATTCTATGATTTTTAAGTCTAGTACACTGTAACGTTCACAGTGGGAATTTGCATCAAAGCATCTTGCCTGAGTCACCAAAGTTAACTATTCAGCTTTTTACATGGGCACAATATACATATAAACAAACCACACATGTACTTCATAATTTCCCTGCATACTTCCAACTGAATAGGAAATGCATTTGAAAATAATTTTATGCTACATCACTTTGTTATAATTTATATAACTCAAAGATGTCCCTTCTTTGTGCTATTTTAAGGTTTTCTGTTGTATTCAATGTTACTAGTCTTTTCACCATCACCAATAACTGGTTTAGTCATTAAACAAAACATAATAAGCCGGCTTACCCTTTTCATTTTAGAAAAAGGAGGTGGATGTGCCTGTGGCAGTGATGTTCATCTGTTATATAATATCTCAGTGAACAGAGCACTGCTCAGGAAGTCAGAGACCCATGTTCAATTCCCTACTAGTCCTGGTGGCTCACCCTAGTCCTAACCTTAACTGCCAGGGCTAGGGTGAAAGCATACTCTTTGGAAGTTATGCCACTGTGCTGTCAATAATGAGAGACTCATAGGGCTAGACAGACAGATGGATGCTTACACGCATTAAAAAAACCGGTGCTTTACTTTAAACTTGGTATACTCCCGCGAGGCATTGTATTGGGCATTGAATTAGTTGGACCCAACATCTGTATAGATTGCACGCTGTAGTGGGGTTATTTTGGTGCTTTTATCTAACAGCCGATTGAATCAGCTGAAGATAAAACTGCTAAAAAGCCCCGCTGAAGCACCCAATCTATACAAACGCCAGGTTGAACTAAAGGCTGCTGCTTCTGAGGGATTTTTCTTTTAAGCCTGTAAGCATCCTAAGTGAATAGAAATATGATCCTTACCTTAAATCCAGTGATAAATGCAGTTATCTGGTCAGAAGAAGCCCCAGGTTATGGTCTCAAGACTTCATTTTATCCAAAGTACTTAAAGGTTCTACACCAGCTTCAATTTTCTCTACCAATATTTGTGGTTTAGAACCTAATTTTCTTATTATTTATATGCGTTTCTTTTCTTCATGTTGTTTTGTAAAAGATGGATGTAAACAAAACACCACAGAGCAATTGTTTTCCCAATCAGGGCGATAAAGCAAACTATGCAAACAAATGGAATTTTTTTTTTTTTAATCCTACCATCTTAGTGACAATCGGAGATAAAATTGTTTCAACTTTTTTTTATTCAATTGATAACATGTTTAATCAATTCACTACCTCTGCAGTAGCACAAATGCCTCCATGATTTCATGCTTTGGAGGGCAAGATAGTAGAAGATGAAAATGCTGCAGAACTAGAGCTTTGTGGATGCAGAAGCATTTCCATTCAAGTACACATTTCCACTAAGGGAGGATGCTAACAATATGTAAGAACCACAACCTTAGTCAGCGCATAAAACAAGCAGCTAATTCTAGTACAAAAAATCTTAAAATGCCAGATCAGCAGTAAGACCGGTCATCACAGATTTTCTGGCTGTTCACATTAGGTCCAAGATTCCCATAAGGCAGAGAAACATTAGATTGGAAAGGGTCGTCTGGGTTGTCAAGCCCAGTCTTCTGGCATTGTGCATCATATAATCATAAGAAAATAAGAATTACCATTTACTAGGTCAGATCATAAGTCCCACTTGCCTAGTATCCTGTCACACAGTAGCAGTGAGCGGTTTATAAATCAGTTTCATTAATGATGTTCCGTTTTAAAATTCAGTACAGTTAAGAGAAGATAACTGGTTCAAAAGAGCTCATATCCATGTTGTTCAATAAGTGTGATTTTGCTACTGAATCCCCTTTTTAATGGGATGAGGTTATCATGAAGGAAGCAGTACAATGATATAGGACATGCTTTTTTATTACCACCATACTGCATATAAAAGTTATGGTAATTGTTTGTATTATTCTGGGGAGTTGGTTTTTTTGTTTGTTTTAACTGCAGGCTGTAGTTAGTATTTATTAAAAATTAACATGATTTCTCCACAATCCACTTGGCTTGCTGCAAACAAAGTGCACTTCAACTTTATTAGAAGCAATAGAACATTTATTCTAATACAAAAAATTTTAAAAATCTTGAATGAAGCACATTCTACTATCATAAGAAACAGCCATACATCATCTCTCAAAACACAAAGAAAAGCTTGGAAATCTTGCATATATTCCGTAGCTGGCATCTTGCAGGAAGATCCATCATATTTTATACCCTCTTACTGACCAATTGTGGAAACCAGTGCATCAAAAAGCATAAAAGACACACAGTTAAACCTATGATCAAGGAAATGCTATGGAAAGGTGACATCTAATTCTCCTGCCTTAGCCATTATGCAAGAGAGAAACACTTTGTTTTGAGGAAGAGGTATTACTCCACTTCAATGGCAATATTAAATCAAAACTGATCTGCACAGTAAGAAAATATATTCTATCATACAGTTGAAATTATAGAGTAAGTCTATATTGACACTCAAATGCCTCTGCTACCAGAACTGACAGACCATCACCAAGCCATCAGGGCATCCCCACACTTGTGTGTTTCTGGCAGCACCACATAGCTACACAGAGCAGCCAGGCCAGAATGTGAAATATGCTTTGAAAAGGCACCAGCTGCTGAACGGACCTCAGCAGCCAAATGAAGATCTGGTAATGTCTATACGTGGTATATTGCTGCCAGGCAGAAGCAGAAAAATTATTCCACTGAGCAGAAATTGATGGTCCTCAGCTCCACAAGGAATTAGTAGTATAGACTAAACCTAAGGGCTTATGTATTAGGCAACGAATTTGCACTCAGAATTAACCCTGAACGTAAAATCGACACAGTGCAGACACAACAGCACATTATATTGTTTTCAATAGTACTGATCCAAAATAATGCAGAGTTGCTGCATAATTAGGGCCATTACTGCAGAACGCAATAATCAAGTGCCAGATTATGCATGGACTTCAACCTCAATATGAATCGCTTCCTGGATACCTGCAGTTACTTCAACAGCAGATCTAACAACAGTAATTTCACGTAGACCAGCCCAAAGGACAGAGAAAAAAAACACCCAACACAGACATTAGCAAATATGAACAACTTAAGGATTGTAAAGAAGAGCAAATGTTAACTAATTAACCCCTGCAATAATCCTTGAAGGAGGCAATTTTTAAAGATAAACTAAAACAGATGAAGTGACTTGCCTGTGGCCACCCAACCTCAGAGCCTGATCTCATGCTAGTTCCCTCGACCATGCTGCCCCTGTACAAAATGTTTAGTAGAGAATTGTTTGATTTAGAAGGATCCTCAGATGAATGATCTAGATTATGGTGCCACATGCTTATTCAGTGAAATGAGAAATGCAAAAAACTCCTAACACCATGCCCCTCTCCAGTGCACAGGATCTGGGCTCTACTCTTCAGTGAGTAGGTAAACTGTAAAGCAGTTAAATGCTTTAACTGCAAGGCCAGCCACACTTCAGTTACCTGAATACAATATATAAACCCCCAAATCATCAAAATATCAAGAATAAAACATATTGTATTATATTAGATAGATAGATAGATAGATAGATAGTCTTACTTCTCCATGCCTTAAAGGTGTAATGGCTCCTCTTGCTACCCCCATTCGAAATAATGTCTCTGTGGCCTGCGTTTAAAAAAGCAAACAGGTTACTTATTTTAAAGATACATTACAGTAGTGACAGTTTTTCAATGGTTCCCATGCATTAAATGCAAGTCATGATTGCTATTTTACTGTTATATCACTTAAATAAGAATATTTAGGGAAAATCTACAGGGGAACTTTATTTAAAGGGACTGTCAAAGAGAAGGGAAACTCTTAAGCTGAAATCTTTGTAAGATGTGATATTTTCTGTATCATCATTTTCAATTATCCTGTTTTAATAACACAAATTTAAAGTAATAAACAGCTTTGAAGGCATACGATGTAAATTTGTCCCTTTGCATACCCAAGCCCCTTTTGGTTGGCTCCCTGTTCCAACAGATAATCTCTGCAAATCTGCAATACCAAAAAAATGGGACATTATATATTAGAAAAGCCAAACCCTTAATCTTATTTAAAATTATATAGTTTTAATTTGTTTCTGTACCGACTGTCCCATCACTTGCCTGATTAGGCAGAAAAAAAAATTATATACATTTCTGAAAAACTGAATTTATTAATTTTACATTCAAAGTTTAAAAGGACATAAATGGTGTTGCCTATGTTTTACTTGAAGGAAAAATCATGTAATTGAAGCATATTCAGAATAGTAATAAACATTAGTATTTCTATTGCCTGATTTTTTAATTGCTTAGTTTTTAAGAAAAAGAAGTAGAAAACACCTTGCCTGCATGTCAAGTTCTTCTATTCATAGAACGTGACAAAATAGGGGAATAAATTTACTCTTTTTGCAACAAAAAGGTAGATTTGCATTTTATCATCATCTCTTATTCATCTGTTCTGAAATAAAGTAGTCTGTCTTTCATAACAGCTAGTGTAATAGGTTTAAATTTTAATTGTATGAAAGAAAATAGGCTCACCAACACTAGTTTCTGATATGAAACTGATGTCTGTATTTTAGAGTAACTTAGCAAGTTATATTTTCCAAAGACAAAAACACAGTAAAATTAAAATGCTTTTTGAACAAAATGTTAGCATCTTCACTATATTTATTTCTAGTTTGGTCACTAGCATAATAATGTATAATGACTGATACAGTAAGTAGCTTCGTTCTACCTAAATTGTTGGTTTCATATGCTTCTGTTTCAAGGCATCTACCACAGAAATACTGTAAATATTGCAAATATTGTATTGCAAATTTAACAGTGGCTCACCAATCTACTACTATTCTAAATGGCATACATTCCAAATAATCTACTAGTTCCCTGAGGACTACACACACATACTTTATTATGTAGTGTTTATTTTCTTTTTTTCTTAAGGAACTGCCTACAGAAGTAAATCTGTAAAAGAGCTTTTAATTGCCTTGTACTTTTTTCCTTTTGTAAGTGAATGTAGCAGCCCCAGAATGGTAAGATTTCAAAGTTGATTACTTTATTTACACCCATACCAATCCACAGCAAAACCAAAACCTGATTCTTCTTCACCGTCTCAAAGAATAAAGTGAGAGAACCTCACACAATCTTTTGTGTTCTGCAGAATTGGTTTCTTTCATCAACTCTTCCCACCAACATTTTTAAGGATGTTTCAGCCAAATAGAGCATTCTGTCAATACAGCTAAGCTGCCTTTGTTTCTATTGAAAACCACTGGTGTGTGTGACTTTCCTTTCACCTCTACTAGTAAGATACCTCTCTTAATACACTTGTACTCACATTGCTAAAACCAGATGTCAAAGCCATTCAGATGCAAGGCAAATTCACAGCATTTGCAAATCTGACACCATAGATTTCTTGATAGGAGCACCCTTTATGTGTTGAGTGGCACTAAGAAGATTAAGCTACAAGCACAAGAGTGGGGGAAACGAGGCTACCCATGTCCATTCGTTAATTGTCAATGACAAGGTCACAGAGATGGAAATAGTTTTCTGGTATGCAACTCTTGAAGCTGGCAATAAGAGGCTGTGTTTTTCAAAGAGGTAACAATTTAGCTATAAGACCAGGGAACATTATCAGGTGAGAAGGTAGAAGTTAACACAACCCTTTTTAATGTATAGAGAGCATCTCTTCCATTCAGAATAAAAAGTGTGCAATATGTATGAGTTGAAATTGTAAAATAGCTACATGAATGCAGACACACACACACAAGTAAACTTTACTTTTACTTCTTTTTTTTAAGTGCTTTTAACATACTTTCAGGTATCCAGGTTGTAGCTGCATTGGTCTAGAAGCAAAAGGAATCAGAACTCCTGGTACAGGTGATATCTTTTATAAGACCAACTGGATTTTTGCAAAAATAATTTTAATTGAAAGCTTTTGGGCACAAGCACTTGTAGCATAGATCATCCAGAACATCTTGTTCATCTGAATTTACAAATTATGGCTAAACTTTTCATTTAATGAGACAGTGAAAAGTTGCAGTTTACTGATTTCTGTTTAAAATATATTTTTAAATATAAAATGGGCAAGGTTAGAAACATTACCTCTTATTTAGACTGTCTAACACACCCCACTGTGACCCCCACTATGTCTATTTCTCTGCTACGACCCTCTGAGAAATCAGCTAGCAAAATTTCACATCTGACAACGGCCAACATAGAGAATAGTAACCTACTACTGCTATTATTTATATTGTATAGCTCAAGTGGCAGGAGTTTCTGCACTATACCTAAAACTTTCAGTCCAACTTATGAACTGTGTAGGCATTATGATACCACTATTTTTTTTTTTTATTAATGGAAGATAGTTAAGAAAAGTTAAATGCTGAAAAAGTATGTTCCCTTATTGTGCAAATGTGCTCCCCTCTTGTGTATTACAATATAAATGTTAATTGCATAATCATGTGTTTCCACTGGACTCCTCTCATTTGGTACCAAAGACAGAACTGCTGTCAGAATGAAAATTAGGATTGTGTAGTGAAAGAGACTTGTCTATAGGACTCCCTGCCTCAGTTCCTGTAGAAGCGTTGGAATGTGTGTACCTTTTGGGAAACTGGGATTGTGGGCCTCATTTCAAGAGAAGGGCCATACAACTCCCTGATTATAGGGGACAAATGATGTGAACAACACAGACAGGAGTAAGGGCTAATGAATGAAGCAGAGGATTGCAGAAAGAGAAAGGACATTTTCATGGTTAGTCCAGCTGAATAGTGCCCTGGGTCACTTTGCAATGCCAGCCAAAACACTTAAACCAGTCTTCTCATGTGTATTCACTAATTGTGTGGTTTTCATTTTCTGAATGTCTAACTTGAGATCCTGGGATCTGATTTGCAGAACTGATAACAATTATTGAATACTCTAACAATATCAAATACTAAGTGATGCAGACGGACACCCAAAAAAATCAGCAGATACTTTTGACCTCTGTGTACCTCAATTTCCACAATAACACAAGACACCAGAAATTCACTTAATTTCTAAAGTGACCACTCTAGTAAAAGCTGTAGATCTGAATAATTTGTGGCTAAATTAAGGGCAAGATTTTAAAAAGACAATAATATTTAAAAAGTAGTGAATTGCCCATCAAGAACGCTGGGGGGGGGGACAGGGACAGAGGGGGGAAAGCTTCCTAACCCTAACCCCCACCACCTCCCAGAAGCAGAGGCAGGGGGAAGAAGCCTGCCCCACCATCCCCTTAGGCAGCACCCCAAACCACCACCGCCTCCAAGGAGCAGGGCCCGGGGGGGGGGGTGGAGAGGGGGCGAGGAGGAGCCTGCTCCGTTCCCACTGTCATGGTGGCACTCCGCTGCATTGCCTCCTCCTGTCCATAATGCTCTTTGAGCACTCTGATTAGTTGTTTCAGTAGCCAGAGTGCTCCAAGAGTGTTACAGATGGACAGACGGATGGACTAAGCCCTTTATTATATTAGAATGCTTTCCACAGGGAAAAATATTGCTAACAAAAATAATCTGCCATACAGGTTTCCCTCGATTTACGTGGGTTCTATGTGAATATGCGAATTTGCTCTTATGTGATGAGCATACTTAGACCCATAATTCATTATATATGCGAGGTAAATTCACTCATGCAATCAGCATAGATGCCTCCCCCCCCCCCCCAAGCAGTTAAGTCTGTGGGGGGAGGTGAAAGTGCCGTGGCCCCACTCACCCCAGCCCTGGCTGCAGCAGCCCCAGGAGCAACCGACACCAGCTGCCTGCAGCAGGGCATGGCGCAGCCCAGGAGCAGAGGTGAGTGAGGACAGGCAGAGCACAGTGCAGCTAGTGCCGGCCGCTCCCAAGGCCACTACAGCTGGGGCTGGGAGGAGTGCCACTGTTCCCTCTGCTTTGCTGCCTTGTGCAGGAGCGGTACCTCTCCCCTCCCCCCACTCCTTCCCTAGTCCCAGCCTCACTCCCTTCCTCCTTCCCTGGGAACCTATCCCTATTTGTTACAATGTAAAGTGGGTTCGCTTTATGCAAATTCAATTTACGCGCCGTTCTCCAGGAACTCATATACAGCATAAATGAAGGGAAACTTGTACTTTTTTACAAAGCTATTAGTAGAAGAACAGTAGAAACCTACTTGTTTGCAATCTCCTATTGGCCCATCTTTTACTCTCCTTAAAATTCTAAATTACTAAACAATTTTAAGATGAGGAAATTCATTTTGCTTACACTGAAAAGAGTACTATTTCCTATTTTTTGTAACATTGTCAATAAAACAAATCCATTTTTATATACCACAGTATGTATAATAGCTGGCAAATACTTGCATCATAACAGTTCTCTCTGTGTCTCCAAGCTGACAGATAAAGTTATAGAGTAATATTTATTCAACTAAGCGACACTCATTTTACATAAGTGCACAAGCATACTTGCCTCACAAAGACTTTCATGCTTACATATTTCATTATTCTGCAGACTAGAAATCTGAAGAGACAAAGACAACTACTTTAATTCTGCTTAATGCTACAAAAATGAATATGGGTTTGTAACAAGGAGCCAGAGGCTCCCTGATACTTCAAGAGGCAAGCCCCAGCAGAGAGTTCCCCAAGTGGAGGGAAACACTGCCCTTGATGAGCTGGCCACAGGG